TAAACTTTAATGGGATACATGGAGTACATAGTTCTATTATATACTCTCTTCATTCATGTTTGCTATTGTAGCATAATGTTTAACCTAGAATATCTCATAAATATATTAGTAGAAAAAATATTTAAAATACTACATTTAAAGGTTTTTTCGATACTAGTAATTTGAAATAAATTTTATATTTTAATTCATTGTATATTTATATACACAGTATGTAGTAAATAGCAGATTCTTACGTGGTTCTAAAGTACATGCAAAATATATGAATCTTAGTGCATTTGATATTACAAAAGAATTAGACCTTTTACGAAAAAAGAAAATATCTACATGTCGGTCTATGAAAAGTATGAACGATTCATATTTTACATGTAGACTCTAGGATCATGAAAAAATAACTCGTAGTATATAGTTAAACGTTTGACACTTAAAGTAAATTAGACAATTAGAAAAGAATGGAGAGAGTATCTAGAACGGAGTATCACATTTTTACTTTCCCTAATTACAGAGTAGTATCTAATGAATTCATTATTTATTAGACCATGCGTAGTGGTTCAAGTTCCTTTAGGCGTTTTTTGCCATGTAGATATCATGTCAAAAGATTCATATTGAGGTAAAACAGTGTGTAGTGGTTCATGTCCATTTCATGCCCCTTCAATGATTATCCAATCAATAAATAATTTTATATTTTTTAAATCAACTATATCAAAAATAAAAATGAAAGCTGAAAATAATTAATAAAACACAAAGTATTTCATTAAAATTTTAAAAAGTTACTTAACAATGTTAATACTAAACGTTTAATGGAAATTCTTTTAAATAAAAAAGCTAAAGTCAATTTCAGTATAAGACCCCGTTTGGTACATGGAATTCAAACTATGGAATTGGAATTGAGGATTTCAATTCCAATTCTGGTGTTTGGTAGCACAAAAATTATGTGGATTTGGAATAGATAGTGCAAAATATGAATTGGAATTGGTGAATTCAATTCTATGGAATTGAATCCCATAGATTTTCAATTCCAATTCTATCAATTCCGTATACCAAACGGAACCTAAAAAAAGTAACATAAAACAATTAAACACTACACCAAATCGATAGCACTAAATTTTTTAAAAACTAACCGTCTTCAATTGTACGTCACTACTCAAAGATGATGAATAATACTCCTTAATTTTAAAAATTTGTGAGTGTTGTTTGGGTGTAGTCTGAGTACGAAAATTTTGGACTGTGTAGGTTAAATGGATTTTATATACTCTAAAAAAGAAAAAAAAATTATATTGAATACATTTTAAAGAATGCATGGTCTGTTCACACGAAAAAAACTGAAACTTCAAAACATAAATATTTGATTAAAATTTTAAAAAGTACTTGACAATGCTAAAAAAAATTTAAAAAAAACTAATCGACTTATCAAATATATTTTTTTTTAAAAAAAGGCTAGAGTCATTTTCATTAACAAAAGTAACATAATATAATTAGAAAAGGAAAAATTAGAATTGGAAATAATTAGAAATGGAAAAAATTGGTCAGACATCAAATAGTTAAAAATAATACTGTAATTAGAAAAGGAAATAAAGGTTAGACATAAGTCCGTGAATTGAAACCCGCCTCAAGCTCTATTAACCAATTTAACGCGTACGGTCTTACGGAGTATGATTGTAAATGTGCCAAATGCCTAATGCCATTCTTTTTATGGCCTAGAATCTTTTTACATTAAATCTTAATGTCATAATATGACATTGGACATCCACAATAATTAATGATTCTTATGCTTCTAACCTCTCCGGCCTCTCCCACAACCACTCACCTGAATTGCCACCAATTGACTAGGAAATCATGTTGCCAATTGGCGATCCAGAGGAGGGATGGGGATGAAGTAGAGGCGAGAGCCGGATGATTTTGGGAGAGTTAGAGGATATGAACCACCAATTTTAAAAACAGGATACCGTAAATACCTGATAATAAGTTATGATATTAAAGTTTAATGCGAAAAGAATTGTATGTATATTTTTTTTGTCGTTCTAACATTCTTTTATTTTATGTCAATTGTTTAACATATTGTAGGTAAACAAAAAAAGGCCACTTTGACGATGAGCCCTACGCAACGGCTCCTCTGGCTTACCTCAGGGCCGGCCCTGCTCCAAATCAGGCCCGAATTGACCGTGTTATGTGAATGGCCCTTGGTCCTTGGCAGTAATTGCACATTTGCACCAATGGCAACTGGAGGGGAATTTTTTTTTAATAGGGGAAGAGATAGGATCAAAAATAGCTTCACCATTTCCTAAACTCTGGAGAACAGTAAGAGTTTTTCAAAAGGGATCATATTTAAGATCATCACCTCCAAGTCTGGAATTGTTTGAAGTTCCTTCCGAAACGGTTCCCAGAGGAACATTTGCGTGCAACCGTGGTTTTTAGGGACTAGGAGAGGCTCGTAGTCAGAGTATTCATTCGTGGGCAGAAAACACTCCAAGGAGACTGCCTCGGAAAGCGACTTCAGGCGCCAGTTAGTGACATCCTTTCGCCATTGGCTATAGTTTTTAGGAACAGACCTGGAAAAAATCAGCATTAGTGTGAACCCCAGAAGAACTGGACAAATTAATGGGGGCAGATGGTTCGACAAAAAGTTTGGGATCATATTTCCAAAAGTCACAAACATATTTGTGCTGCAGCAAAAGATTCGGTAGAAATAGGGCGAGTTTCAGCTCAAGCCAAAGTTTTAGCCTTTTCACCAGAGAGTAAACCACTGTTAGAGTTTCTTGATTAGCCACCCATCCTAGTACTACTCTCGTCCAAGCACGCTTAAGAAAGAAATCCTCAAAATAGTTCTCTCATGGCATAATTAAGTAATTAAGATCAATTTCTGTCTTAGCCATCGCACGAAGACCACAATTAACTCATTTACCTCGGCTATTCATTTTTTTCATGTTGAAGGCCCATTTAGTAAGGGTTATTTGGCTGAAATGGATGAATAATTGTTGGGGGTCTACTACCTAACCATGGGCTTCGTCCATCTTTTGCACAACTCTATATTTACGATACTCAGCAGGAGGACTTCAACCGAATAAGAGCAATACGGTATGTATTGTTATTTGAACAAGTGTATGCAAAAATAGGTCCTTTTAAATTTAAATCGTATACATATCATATAGAGAGTAATGAATGAATTGACAGGAGTGACTTGGAGATGGACACATTGCACGATAGCATTGTTGCCAAGTTAAGAGGAATGTTGGACGAACACAATGTTTTGGTTAAGTCTTTTCGCATGGTTAGAGACAAAATTAATGAAGGGGGGGATTTGAATGTTAAGCTCAGATTGATTGGGAATCGAAAATCAGATCCCAGGAGATATAATTTACCGACCGT